CAATTGAAAATACCATGGCTTGGGTTAGGCATGCCTTAGTCTTCAAAGAGACATCTTTTGTCTCCAGCACTTTAAAGAGATCTTTTGCAGCAGATTTGCCCAGTGCAATACGTTGTCTGATGTCTTGACTGCTGCTTTCATTGGCGTTGATTGTGGAACCAAGTAATATGAAATCATTAACAACTTCAATCTTTTCTCCACTTATTATGATGCTTATTGGCCCAGTTGTGAGGATTTTTGTTTTCTTTATGTTGAGATGTAATCCATACTGCAGTCTTTAATCTTCATCAGTAAGTGTTCAACTCATCTTCACTTTCAGCAAGCAAAGTTGTATCATCTGCGTATCCCAGGTTGTTAATGAGTCCTCCTCCAATCCTGATGCCACATTCTTTTTCATATAGTCCAGCTTCTTGGATTATTTGTTCAGCATACACATTGAATAAGTATGGTGAAAGGATACAACGCTGACACACTCCTTTACTGATTTGAAACCACGTGGTATCCCCTTGTTCTCTTTGAATGACAGCCTCCTGGTCTATGTACAAATTCCTGATGAGCACAATTAAATGTTCTTGAATTCACACTCTTCTCAATACTAGTCATAATTTGTTATGATCCACACAGTGAAATGTTTTTGCATAGTCAATAAAACACAAGTAAACATCTTTCTGGTATTCTTTGCTTTCAGCCAACATCCATCTGACACCAGCAATGATATCCCTCATTCCACATCCTCTTCTGAATCCAGCTTGCATTTCTGGAAGTTTCCTGTGAATATACTGATGCAACCATTTTCGATTTATCTTCAGTAAGGTTTTACTTGGTGTGATATTAATGATATTGTTTGATAATTTCCACATTCTGTGGGATCATCTTTCTTTGGAATGGGTATAAATATGGATCTCTTCCAGTCAGTTGACCAGGTAGCTATGTTCCAAATTTCTTGGCATAGTTATGCCAGCATGGCATCTGTTTACTGAAATATCTCAATGCATACTCCATAAATTCCTGAAGCCTTGTTCCTTGCCAGTTCCATCAGTGCAGCTTTGATTTCTTC